ATTTATTGTACATATGTTAATAATAATTTTTGTAACTGACAATCAATAAGACAGATAAGCTTGATAATCCTTAGCAAGATTCGATTCAAAATTTGTAAGTTTTAGTCTTTTCATTGACCCCAATCTAGATCGGGTTGCCAACTCTGGCGACCCCTGATCTAGATATACCACCATGAGAAAAGTTCTTATGTGTAGGTCTGTGTTTGTATATATATGTATTTTTATTTATTTGTATTTTCATGTTTTGTCACATTTCATCATACACTACATAATAATAATAATTCCAATATTTTAATTAAATTTAAAAAAGAGAAATAATTTAATAGAAATCAGCATTTTATAATTCGTGGTAAATATTTTACTGGTGTGAATGCTCAAAGTTAAAGAAATTTTAAGATAAATTTAAGATTTAATTCTAATAAAACATTTAGAATTTTCAGATGAATAAAATAGACTTGCCATTGATGCCATAAAAACTTTGTTAATGGTTAAATATAATTTCAAAGAATGTAATTGCTTAATTTTTTACAAATATAAAAGAATTGCACATTTTGCTTTTGTCTCACTCAGTTTTATATTTAATTTAATTATATATATTGTGCATGTTATGTCTTAATATACTGGTTCTGTTGTAAATTTACAACTGTGTTATATATATATATATACATGATATACAGGCTTAGTACTTGTGTGTTAAAAAAATAATAATAATAAAATATAATTTTTATAATTAAATACAGTATGGAGAACAAAACATTGCTAGCCATGGTTTGAAGAAAGGCAAAATATTAATTCAATTAAAATTTTATATTTATATTACAAGTTTTGTTAAAGATTTAATTATTGATTTCTTTCTTGTATGTTTATTGCAAAAATACAGGCTATGTGCAGTATATAATTACTTTAATTTCAACTTAATTTGATTTTTGTGATGTTACTAACTGAAAGTTCAGGTATTCAATTATACTTTTACATTTATGCCAATAAAAATTGTAGACAATTTTCAATGAAAATAATTTCTGTAACCTTTTACATACAAATTTCTCTCAAATCATCATCATCATCCTTTAAAGAATGTACTGTACTTATGTACTCTTTTCTTATGATTGAGAAATAGTAACACCACCATCATGGGTTTGACCAGACCAACAGTGGGACAGGATCCAATGTGTCCAGAATAAGATGTCCATGAAAAATTCTAGAGGATTCTATCTAGAATTCAAAATCCCAAAGCAGTAGGCTCATCACCTAAGTCATCTTATCATCAATTATTAACACCACCAAATAAAAATCATTGGCTGTGTGAAGCTACTCAGATATGTGATAGCTCTGTATTATATTAAATCATTTAGTTTGTCATGTGTTGATAAAAAGTTAGTAAACATTTTGAAAGTCTTGGGATTAATTAGGTTAATTTGTATTGATTATATAATTTGATTAGAGTAATTTTTTAATAAGCATACCATATTCATGGGATGCAATAATTACATTAACTGAGAGATTACTGAAATTGAAAAATTTATTAGCAGGTCAATTAATATATTCTTTTAAATGTTTTAGTAATCTTTTATATAAAAAATGTAATATAATAGCAACAACCATACTCTAAAATTTTTTAAACATTATAATTGTGCTGTCTTTAAAACTATAAAAAATTATTTACTTATATAATAAACTTACACAGATGTAATTTGATAATCTGTTTTTCTTACATGAATTCCTAGCTTCAGAAACATTATACAAAATGTAACATCAACAGATATAGTCTATCACAAAACAATTATGCTGAAAAAAGCCACAAGTTTACTTGTTATAATTTAGTTAAATTAACAATTTGAAAATTCTAATCGTAGATAGGCATGCCATCATTTATTGATAACAATTATAATATATTAAATTTAAATCACTCATTAATTTTTAATGTGCAAAAAAAATTGCACATTGAATTGAATCTACAATTCTCTTATAATTGGCAATACATTTGCTTCTAAATTAATACTGTAGATTCAAATCCAAATCTGTGTAAATATTTTTTTTTCAGATCCATCACTTAATCATCACCATTAAAAGATAATGATGAGGCTATCTACTGTCCAAATTTGTATATCATTAATCAATTTAATTAACTCCATTTCAAACTGGCAATCTTCAGTAAATTTCTATTAGCGATTAAAGCAAGCAACATACACATACATATGTAACAAACCTAACTCTGTTTTCACATATAAAAGTTAAATAAATAGCTTCTAAGTTTTTACTTTTTTACAGAATTAAGACACAGTCCATCCTTGATGTAAGAAACTATATGAGAAAGATGGAATCCATTAATGGCATGTCTGTTACGTCAATTGAATCTACTAATATACATAGTTCTAATTTAGCAGCGAAGCAACAGTAAATAAATGCCTCAATTATAATGATACTTTAGTATAAAATTAAGGAAAACAGTAAATAAAAGCAGCACTAACTTGTGCAAGATAAATACAAACTGATTGGATAGTTCTCTCTTAAACTCATATGAATATGTAAAATATTGTATTTAAAACAATTTTATTGATTACAATATTTCTTTTTAAAGAAAAAAAGTTGGCTACAAACTTCATATTTATTCTTATGCTTACAAAACAGCCCTTTACATAGTTATGAATATTCTTTATTTGATCCATTTCAGTATACAGTATCTGTAATCTGTAGTTTAATTTAATATATCAAGCAAACGTTATATCAAGGATGGACAGTGTAATAAACATTTATTATAATTTTATAGCATTAAACTATAAACTAAGTGGTATGATATTATTCAAATATATATGGACAATGTACTGGTAGTGTTTTTTCCATTCAATTATAATGAATAAAAATTATGAAACTTGGTATCACAAGTTATAAAATAAAATACTACTACAAATTTACAAATTTTAGCCAGGCTGTTTTGATGAGCAATAATACAGAAGATGCTAAGTTAGTGTGTGAAAATATGCACGATATTTGAATTTAACAGGATTTGAGGTACAAGGTATCAAGTTTGTTTAAATACTACAAAGCTCCATTCAGGTAATGTGCAACTCCTTGTCAAGATTCATAAAATGAACCATAATTTCAGGAAAACCATAATTCTTTCAGTATTGCATTCTACATTCTTTTTGGATAAAATTATAGCTCTGAATAAAATGGTTGAGCTTTATCAGAGCTGTAAACCATGCCAACAGGAGTATAAAAACTCAAAAAAACTGATGATATTTATACAATCCTTCACAAAATTAAATCTGCCTATCTAGAATTTCAAAGATCTTCAAAAATAAGGTAAAATTTAAAAGTGAAAAAAATCTGGAACTATTTCTCAAAACAATACTAAAAATCAACCATTTTCCACTTTACTAGAGACGGCTAAAAGCTCATAATACACGAGAGATGCCACTGCAAGGACTATTTCCAGGACACAATTGGAGTCATATCGGTGCACTCCATTAAGCTTATCCTAAATATAACAAGCAGCTAATTTCAGGGGGAGTATATCTTGCAGAGTTACACAGGTTAGTTTTTACAATCCTAAAATCTAGTTTAGGTCATACTCTTGCTCTTTGTACAAAAACCTATTAGTGAAAGTTACAAGTTGTTTTAAATTTGCATATAGACACATTTGATTATATGAAGGTGGTTACTGTGCATGCATGACGATATAATTTGATTGCATTTTAATTAATTTTTCTATGGTATTTGTATGTGTGAAACTGGAGTTTCTATTTGTGATTTTTTCAAAGTAAATTACAGTTATAAATATCTGTTGGCATATTTGCACAACTGTAGACTTTGTTATGCTATTGCATGGTAAATACAAGATATTAGGCTTGGATGAAAGGATTTCTTTAGATGCAAAATTCACTGTGGAAATGTGTCTTTTGCCTTCTGGTAGTATTTGTGAAAAGTGTAATAGAAAGCAATCCTTGAAGCCACAAGTAGAGCTTAAACATCCTGTTTGCCCTCTTTTACTTATTCATAGTTTAAGTTTGGCCCACAAGACTCTGCCTGCTTTACATGACCCACTTGACTGTTTGCAGAACACTTGCTATTGTAGTTTTAAGGAGTATGGGGCTTGTCCCACATGGACACCAAGGTGAAAGAAATAGCAAGCATTGAAGTGCATGACTGACACAGAACATACAGAATAGGCAGTATTCTGGTACAGGGTAAAAACTGATCTTAAAAGAATATCTTATGAAGGGTCTCATATACAGATATGGTTTCTTTTGACTATATTGTTCATACAGAGGGGTCTTCAATTATGGGAGTGGGAAACCCCTCATTCTGTATTCAGATCTTACTGTCACACAGTCTCAGTGAGAAAACAGTGTCTCGTTAATACATATTACCTTCTTTTTACCTATGTCTCATTCATAAACCTTGTGACAGGGGAAGTGTTACTATTGTAAAAATAACCCAGACGCAGACCATCGGTTCCTTTGACTTTTTTACTCCCACCTCCACAGTCTACGACTCTGGTAAGATCCTGACCACCTCACTCGGAACCACAATCTTACCTCTCCATAATCATAACAAGTCGACGGCCATCAAACGACCAAACACCACCAGATAGATAATCTTGATTTCCCAAATCCAGCAGTCCGACTCGACGAGTTAACAACACAACTTACACATTACAAACTCCGCTAAATTTTCTAATCGGTAAAACAAGCAAAATCCATTAAAGCAAACAAAAACAGCAATAAAACATAACAATACAAATAAACTTAAGCACAAATTAATAAATAAAAAAAATAAAAAATAAAAACTCAAGTCACTCCCAAAATTTAAATTCATGATCAAATCAGATGAATTTATTTTAAAAATCTTGCTTAAAACCAAAACAAGAAAAAAGCACGTGAATACGAAGATAATTTAATTAAGTTATAAATCTAAATTCATTTCTAATTAATGATAATGTATGGATGTGTATAATAAATCTTCCATTATAATGTCCAATTTTTATATAATTTAACTCATATAAAACTAATCTAATTATACACACGCATTTATTTACGCTTATAAATACTAAAATAAAGTTTTTTAAGTGGTTAGAAACGTGTTTAAATACGATAATGATGTAAAATACAACAGTATGACATTGTTCTCTGCCATCTTATCGTTAGGCTTACAAATAAATTTACGTGTAATAATCGTCTGAATGAGTTCGTGTGCGGATTAAATAACTCAGGTACGTTTAATTCAATTACATTCGATTACATTTACGTATATACTTGGCACTTACTTTATATATTAACCGCCGGTTAAGTTTTCTTACTTTGGTAAGCGGGAAAACGATTCGATAGTAATTGGCGCTTTTTGAAAAACAAACGACTGATGCGTCGCAAAGGTTCATGGGATCGGTCGAAGCGGAGCTTCTGTGGACACCATTTTACTTCCGTACGAAAATTTGATTTCGAACGAATAAACTGGAACCGATTAAATAAATTTAAATCTTTAACGTCGAGAGCGATTAAAACGAAGCCAAATGGGCAAATAATTACATAATTTTTTTATAAAATAAACACACTTTCGTTTGAAAACTTTCATGTGGAGTCGCTTTCGCGAATAAATGTTTAATTTGGAAATATTAAAAACTGATGATATTTATACAATCCTTCACAAAATTAAATCTGCCTATCTAGAATTTCAAAGATCTTCAAAAATAAGGTAAAATTTAAAAGTGAAAAAAATCTGGAACTATTTCTCAAAACAATACTAAAAATCAACCATTTTCCACTTTACTAGAGACAGCTAAAAGCTCATAATACACGAGAGATGCCACTGCAAGGANTAAGTGAAGGGGGCGATACTACATAACGGTTTTATTGAAGGAGCGACGATAGATGTTGAGAAACACTGTACTAAACCAAACAGAATTTCAATAATTCAGTATTCCATATATAAAACTAAAAAATAGAAAATAAAAAAGATTAAAAAAAATTTTTTAGCAAATGTTTTTTGTTAACATAAATGCATTAAAAAGTAAAAACTAAATTTTTTCAGTTTTCACATCATTCTTGGTATTACATGCAATGAAAAATAAAAGCTCGTGAGAAGCCCCTAAAAATTGAAAGTGGAACTAAAGAATTTTCTTAACATGAGCACAACATGCTTTAATTTTTGGTTGCATAATACCAAGTACAGCAGGTGATCGGTTAACGAACACTTTCGCGAAAGATTTTTACGATAGGACAACGAACACTTCACTGAACAAAAATTAAAAGAAGAAACGGAAATAGTAAATACTGATTGATTTTCCTTTGTCTTCAGGTAACTTTTTGGAGAGTGGGAAACATCAATGTCGATGCTCAACCCGATATATACTGATCAAATAGTATTCTTCAAACTTTGAAATACTCCCTTGTAATTCCAACCTTTTATTTTTCTGACAAACAATTCTTTTATAGTATTGGTGAGACTGTCGGACGAACACTCATTAACTTTTGCATCGGTTTTTATTTTCGAAAAATGAGAGTATAATAGCAAAGGTAGAGAGTGAGCAGAAGATGTCTGATGTTGCTGGGCAGCATGGCTTGAACAAATCTACAGTAGGTTGCAGTTCAATTGTATCTAAGAAAGATACAGTATAATTAAGAAGACTCAAGCAGCTAAAGGAGTAACAAATATCACATCTGAGAAATAAAGAACATTGAAGAGCTCATAATGGAACCTGAAACGGATCTGACGACAGAAGAACGCCAAGAACTCTTGAATGAAGAACACCAAGAAACACGGCAAGATATGTTTTATTATGAAAAAGAGGATAAATGCCAATATCTGCTATTAATTAAAGATCTTTTGAAGAAGTAGGGGATGTCAGAACAACAGTCTTAGAATGGTATCCAAACCAGATTGAGGTTAATAGGTTTGGGGATCTCTACAATTACAATGCTATTAATTATGAAAATCCTGAAGAGAGAAAAGCAATCGACATTAGACAGATTATTTAACCCCCACAAACAAAAAAACATGAGTAATAAAAAATGCAAGTCTGTGTATATACGTATTTTTATTATTACATATAAATAAATGTAGTAAGAAAGTATATATATATATATATTTTTTTGGGGTCTCCAGAATGAATTAATCAAATTCCCATACAAACCTATGGTAAATTGATAATTGCTTAACGAACAATTCTGATAGTGAACGAAGTCTTGGAAAGGATTATGTTCATTAACTGATCACCCACTGTATACTGTGAAAGCTGAAAAAAATTTATTTTTTGCATTTTAGTGCATCTATATGAAAAAAAGTATTTTTTCAAAACTTTTTATTAAAATTATTATTATTATTATTGCCATTCCAAAAATGAGAAAATATCGAACTCTCTCCAAAGTTATCGTCCAATAGCCTTGTTTATAAATTCTTAAAAAGACTGCTAGTCTGTTGAGTTTCATCAAGCATTGAATCTACCACTATTATGAACAAAGATAAGTTTCATCTCAAGCAGGACTGCAGTGACCAGATATTAGATTTTGGGATCATAATGTACTTCAATAGAATATAAGTTAGATGAAGAAATGAGGATAGCTATACTGTATCACATATTAGACCTGATATTGCTGAAATTCACTATCAGGTATCACATTAAAATTGATTTAAAGAACTTCCATTTTTATAAGTTATTTTAGTTACAGTTTTTACAAATATAATATATTTTTTAAAATTACTGTTTTATTTTTTTACTGTTATGTAATCTGTTATTTTTATTAATTAATTAATAAAAGAATATGTTCGTGCTTATTTTTGTTGTTATTTTCTGACCTTAGTAATTTCGCTATTCTGCATACTTTTCTTATATTCAAAATTTTCTGTGACTTGAAAAGATTAAGAACCATTGGGGCCTAGATTAATTGCTAACACATTTTTACATTATTTGACACACACAATTTTTTCTGATAAGAAAATAGTGTTGTATCAGTACAACACTAGATGACTATCAGTTATAAGTTGTGTTTGCTATCACATGACATGATTCTGAACTGATTCTAATCTTGTAAGATTCATGTACAGTACAATAAAAATCACATGAAAATCAAACAGTATGATACCAGCTTAACACTTTACATATTACAACCTAAGCTTTGTTTATATCTCTGTTAAATACTGCTTAGATGTGCAGATAAATAGCACACACATGCACCTAACTGATGTCCAACTCCTCAAGGCCATGCATATTATTACTGACACTCTCAATTCCATCCTACTCAAATGGCTAAATGCTTAGTAGCATCTCCACTTCATATTGTCATACCTTAGATAAGCTGACTAGGAATTTGCGAACAAAGATGTGACCAATTTAATATTGATTATCCTTTATGGAAAACAACCATAATTTACTCTGAACCTTTGACTTCATGGCTTCCTGGAAAGAGAAAGGGTTTGTCTCACTTCCTCATGATGTTGTACAGTACAAATTACCAAGCTCGCAGGCTTTGATTTTACTTATCACATTTGATGTAAACTTAATTGCATTTGCTTTGGGCATGGCAAAAGTGCTTCCAACCTTTGTAACTACAATTTTATCAGATCCCCATTTTGTGATTGCAAGAATGTGAACCAAACTCTCCCTCATACCATTAAGAACTACATTCACTAGTACATTACAGTCTCCTCACTGTTGCTCTTGATACTGTCAAATGGATTTAGGATCTAGATCAGGGGTCGCCAAACTTTTTTGATCATCGACCCCCTACTTTGAAACATCACATCGACCCCCACCAAAAAGTTTGTGTTACAAGCAAAAATAAAAGCTCTTACTATTTTTATATATATCTTTTAATTTTACATTTTTTACATTTATTGTACATATGTTAATAATAATTTTTGTAACTGACAATCAATAAGACAGATAAGCTTGATAATCCTTAGCAAGATTCGATTCAAAATTTGTAAGTTTTAGTCTTTTCATTGACCCCAATCTAGATCGGGTTGCCAACTCTGGCGACCCCTGATCTAGATATACCACCATGAGAAAAGTTCTTATGTGTAGGTCTGTGTTTGTATATATATGTATTTTTATTTATTTGTATTTTCATGTTTTGTCACATTTCATCATACACTACATAATAATAATAATTCCAATATTTTAATTAAATTTAAAAAAGAGAAATAATTTAATAGAAATCAGCATTTTATAATTCGTGGTAAATATTTTACTGGTGTGAATGCTCAAAGTTAAAGAAATTTTAAGATAAATTTAAGATTTAATTCTAATAAAACATTTAGAATTTTCAGATGAATAAAATAGACTTGCCATTGATGCCATAAAAACTTTGTTAATGGTTAAATATAATTTCAAAGAATGTAATTGCTTAATTTTTTACAAATATAAAAGAATTGCACATTTTGCTTTTGTCTCACTCAGTTTTATATTTAATTTAATTATATATATTGTGCATGTTATGTCTTAATATACTGGTTCTGTTGTAAATTTACAACTGTGTTATATATATATATATACATGATATACAGGCTTAGTACTTGTGTGTTAAAAAAATAATAATAATAAAATATAATTTTTATAATTAAATACAGTATGGAGAACAAAACATTGCTAGCCATGGTTTGAAGAAAGGCAAAATATTAATTCAATTAAAATTTTATATTTATATTACAAGTTTTGTTAAAGATTTAATTATTGATTTCTTTCTTGTATGTTTATTGCAAAAATACAGGCTATGTGCAGTATATAATTACTTTAATTTCAACTTAATTTGATTTTTGTGATGTTACTAACTGAAAGTTCAGGTATTCAATTATACTTTTACATTTATGCCAATAAAAATTGTAGACAATTTTCAATGAAAAGAATTTCTGTAACCTTTTACATACAAATTTCTCTCAAATCATCATCATCATCATCCTTTAAAGAATGTACTGTACTTATGTACTCTTTTCTTATGATTGAGAAATAGTAACACCACCATCATGGGTTTGACCAGACCAACAGTGGGACAGGATCCAATGTGTCCAGAATAAGATGTCCATGAAAAATTCTAGAGGATTCTATCTAGAATTCAAAATCCCAAAGCAGTAGGCTCATCACCTAAGTCATCTTATCATCAATTATTAACACCACCAAATAAAAATCATTGGCTGTGTGAAGCTACTCAGATATGTGATAGCTCTGTATTATATTAAATCATTTAGTTTGTCATGTGTTGATAAAAAGTTAGTAAACATTTTGAAAGTCTTGGGATTAATTAGGTTAATTTGTATTGATTATATAATTTGATTAGAGTAATTTTTTAATAAGCATACCATATTCATGGGATGCAATAATTACATTAACTGAGAGATTACTGAAATTGAAAAATTTATTAGCAGGTCAATTAATATATTCTTTTAAATGTTTTAGTAATCTTTTATATAAAAAATGTAATATAATAGCAACAACCATACTCTAAAATTTTTTAAACATTATAATTGTGCTGTCTTTAAAACTATAAAAAATTATTTACTTATATAATAAACTTACACAGATGTAATTTGATAATCTGTTTTTCTTACATGAATTCCTAGCTTCAGAAACATTATACAAAATGT